TATTTATTTATTTATTTATATTTATATTTATATAAATATATATATTTATATATTTGATATATATAATTGCATTTATATATTTGATATATATAATTTTATTGCTGACTGAGAAATATTAATTAATTCCCAGTCAACAGTCATCTTGAAAGTGTTTATCTTTACAGATAGAGGTAGTCTTAATAAAAATTACTGCAAATTTCATTTAACTGAATTAATAAAGATTTGAATCGCATTTGCGACATTTGTCATTTGCAATAAATGGTGAGGTGTTTTAATTTCCTTTGCAGACAAGCTGCCAAAATGTTTAATCATTTTTCCGTCTTGCATTTTCTCTTTTTTTGTTCAAAAAACTGCGAGAAATAATTACTTTACTTTTAGTTGGCAATTAAAACTGAATAAATTTATCAGAATTAAAGAACTATGAAATGATTTGTGAAGGCTTGCAGTGACACAAGTTATGATCATGCAATGAGTTATGGGTTTCAGTCCAGTTTCAGTTGTTTTGTTTGTTTATTAATTTTATACTCATTTCAAACTAATTTTGGACAATGAAGGAAATTTATGCAATTTAATATGAATAATTTTTTTGATTTTCTTTAAGAGAATGTTTTGTGAGTGTGCAGGAAAAAGTTATTAGTTGTTGAATTGTTACACTTACGTTTGCGCTCAGATATTTCAATTACTAAAAAATAAATTTAAATAAAGAGTATTAATGAAAAATTAAGATTACAAATGTTTGAAGAAAGGATATTGTAAAGACGAAATGATTGACATTGTCGATTAAAAGGTGAAATGCGAGGACGAGGGATCAGTTTTCGGTAAACATAGCGTGGAGTTGAATGAGCACCGAACCGGTTTAAGCATTTTGGATTTGGGTAGTAAGTATGTAAGGTTTCGTTAGCTTGGTTGGACAAACAATTCAGCTCATAGTTTGAAGTTGACCAAAGTGATCCGGTGGTCAATCGTGTGGTCACTACTATTTAACCCAAAAGTAATTTCACCAAACTGTCATTGTGGGTCATTACAAATATTTCGTTACTATAATTTCTTTTAATTTCTATCTTGCTTAGCATATAAAAGCTGCAAGTTAGATTATTGTGGTTACTAAGATGAATGCCTATGCTTACTTAATAGTGACCATCAATCTTTTCAACTTTCTGTATTCTCACCAAATAACCCCAATTATTGGGGGTAAATGTGATACGAATGCCTCGGATGTACTCATTGGTGGCAAAGAAACGCAGTTTTTTCTGAAATGTGAACCTAATTCCCAGTAAGTATCTTCTTCTTGAATGAATATTAATTTATTCTCGCGAATGTCATTTTTTTGACAAAAAAAATACTCTTCTATAATTAAAATTTGACATGACAGGTTTGAATTTTAAATTGCTTATATCTGTTCCATATAGTAGCATTTGACTCCAGCACATAAACACGATTGTTGATTATATTTTGCGATGAAAAACGGAGTTCAAAACGATTTTTGTAAATAATAATCACTGTGTTACTGATGTTGCTGGCTCGTAATGCATTTTTTGGAAAGTGTTCAATATCTTTTAATTTAATTAAGTAATTTCTGTTTGGACTCGAAGACAATAAAGACTAATTTTGGCCAGAAAACATTGCAAGAAATTTAAATTTGATTTCCACAAATTCAAATTTAAGATCTGAAAGTGGTAAAGGTGTGTGGGTGGTTAAAAGTAGAATCGTATCGGTAACGACAACAGCTGCTAATATGATTTACACAAACCTACCTGCAAAAATGATACCACAGACGAGATTTCCATCGAATGAAGCTCAACAGAAATCTGATAGCAGCATTTGTGGTAAAAAAATATTTCTTAAATCAAGAGTAACTTCAAGCCAGCAATTATTTGGTCATTTTTGGATTATCGATTTTAATTTATATATTTTTTGAAGTAATGTTTTTTAGTGCAAGACAAAAATGCACGAGAAGGTGATTTGTGCTCAGTTTCACTATTTTGCTTGCAACAAGACCAAAGGAAGGCAATGAATTACTTACAATGTGATCAGAGGTGATTAATTTTAATTTTTGGCTAAGTGTTTTGCTCTAAAATACTCAGCAAATGAGAAATAATTTGAATTTGTTGCTGCGACTGTACAAATTAAATGCTTGGAGCATTTCCAATTATAAAAATTGATTAGTTTAATTCAATTTTTTAACATCGCTTTCAGCCACTGATCATCGTTACTGAAATCACTGACCTTTTACAGGTATTAAAATGAAAAATTTTTTAGCTTTTATTTGGATATTTATTGAAAATCTATGAATGTTTAAAATTTCGAATTGTATTTGCAGCAGATTTTTGCAAATATTTCTATCGACTTTCAGCACTAGCCGATGGAAAAGAAAATCGTGTCTCAATGGGCAGATTTTTAGTTTTGAACATCAAACTTGCGTTATTTTGAACACAAATTTAATTAAAGACAGTCGTTTTGGACCACGTAAGTAACGTTTCTCGATCAATTTCTTTTATTTTTTTTTGTGAAGCATGCATGATCTCTTGTTTATCCCAGCTGTTTTCTAGACTAGTTACACTTACAACTTCACGTTCCATAATTTATTGAAAACTTTATTTTAAAAAATTTGAAGTGATTGTTTTCTTACTGTTAAATTAAATGATCTATACATTCAAAGTTATAATATCGGAGTTGTTTTGATCAAAAATTTGATATTAATAATAGTGATAAAAATGGGATAAATTCGATACCAAAATTTTCATCACTATTAGTTTGAGATGTGAGCGAATTGAAAATATAAGCGAATCAGTTCGAATTTTTCAGTATTAGTAGTTTCAAAATATTGTAAAAAATCTTTAACGTATTCAAGAAGTTCTCGAAAAATTATGATATCGTAATTACTAAAAGTTTTAGCGTCGCTTATTTAGTTCCTGACTTGTAATTTTTTTTCTGTCATAAATTTTTTCATCGAAAATTTATATAGTTGATTTCTTTTCCTCAAACAATTTTATTCGAAATATTGTTAATAGTGCTTACATCATATAGATAACAAACTATTCAGCAACGTATCATACGTGACTTCTTTATTGTCACTTTTTGATTTATTTAATAAACAAAAATCCATTTTCGCTTTCATGTACTTATTTTTGAAGTTTTAATAACTAATAATTAACCAATGCATTTCCTATCTATTTTTTATGAAATTTAGCTTGGATTATTTTCGCTGAATAAAAATAGAAATTAAATTAGTTGACACAAAACGAAAATTACTCGAAATGAATTCAGGTTACCAAACGCATTCTGTACCAATTGGTATTGTATGTACATTTATGCAGTGCTCCCATATTGACCCTTGTCAACGGGGAACTTGTAATAATGGTTTTTGCTGTTTTTCATCTATTGGTAAATGACATTTTTCTTCATTTTCAACAATTCATAACTTGAATAATTTTCAAGCTTCAGTTCTTCTAATATCAAAACACGAATGCTTTGTATCATTTATCCTTCCAATATATTACAAATAACCCCAATACATTTTATGCTTTTCAAAATAACTTCCTATTATACCTTACTGCAAGAAACTTTTACTAACAAGCAAACTTCTGTAGATGAAAAACTTTTACTGCACTCATCATAGTTATTTCAACAATTAATCCAAATAATGATCAATTTCTTAAGCTAAATTCAAGCTTTGAGAGCCATTTCTTAAATACTAATATATATTAATATCAACACTTACAAAATATGACTAGTTTATGCAACTTAAGGCACGACTTCAATACCTCATCCGCATCTTACTATTCCGTCATATTCGCACAGTCTACAACAACCAAATCATCATCAACAGTCTCCTTTGTTAGTTAATCAAGTACCCCTTGCGATGTCCCACCAGCAAATACCATTCTTAATATCGAGTCGCATGGATCGAGCATTCAATCCAACTTCATTTAGTAAGTGTCAAAAAATTACTCAAGTTTGCCTTTATTTTGTGAGTAATCTTTCAAATATTCAAATGCCTCATGCTGCACATTTGATCAGTCTTATTTTACAAATTTCTGTTATTTTTATTGCGTAAGCAGCAATTCATGGCATATTTTCCAAGCGAAAAAAGTAATGATATTATGTACCCTTCAATGAGGAAAAATTTTTTATTTCTTATCAAGATCTGGGTTGTTCGAACGGTGCTTCCTCAGCTGGGTCTTGTATCAATATGCGCTGTGCTCGAGGTTACGTTTGTTCACCTGGAAATCAATGCTGCCCATCCAATGATTTCGTACCAAATCTAGCTACTACTGCTAATCCCATAAAGAATCCATTCCGTAATTAATTTCTTTTTTATCCATAAAGTAATCCAAATATTATCAATGTACTCAATATCATCCATTAAACATATATCGTATAACTATCTATACCACTGACAAAAGCCTGTATAGTTTTCAAACAAACTGTTAAAGGATAAATCTTTTTATCCAACTTAAGTCACAGAATCATATAAAATTTTCAAAGCAATAGACTTTTAATTTAGTTACTAAAATAATTCACGTCTTGTTTATTTTATCCAACTAATTAGCGCGGTTCAATTTTTATTTAAATTGAATGCACTGTAATGACGAAGTATTACTTTTCTTGAATACTGTGCACTAACAAAAATATTGCTTGAATTTCAACTGAAGTGAATGTTTTTTATGGAACTCATTTTTAATAATATTAATTATTATCGCTCCTCCAAAATCTTTTAATTCGTATCAGTAAATTTGTTTCTAGTTTGTGTGGATGGCACTCAAGCTGCGGGAGCATGTATTCTCGGCCAATGTGGCTCACCATTTACCTGCATTAAAGGTGTAAAATTATCATCCAGACCGGTTATTATCTATTCAAAGCTGATTTTCGTAAAATTTGTATTATACATAAACTTATGATTTCATAATTTAAATGATTAATAACAATAATAATAATGATAATAATATAAATAAATTAATAAATAAACAAATAATTATGTGTCAATTCGATTGCCGTATCAGCGAACTTTTATTGTCCAAAAAACTTTTTTATCATGATAAAAGAATGTATCATTTATACTATTATGACTAGTCGCAATAATTATTAGCAATCATCACAAATTTTAGTTGATAGCTTACTCCTTAAGATCATGACTTTAGGTTTGTGCTGCAACCGAACAGCTAACACACCACGATGTCTTGATGGTTCGCCATCTGTTGGTGCTTGTTTATTGGGCCAATGTGGTGCAGGCTTCATTTGTACTACTGGAAATTTATGCTGTCGTTCTCTAGTCTCAAATGCTGTTCCTCGTAAATCCTTTTAACTTTCCTTATCACTTTATCAAAAATATAAATATCATTAGCAGGGACGTAAACATATAAATAACGCAGATACTTGCCGCTAAATTATGATTTTCTAGTTGAGTAAAGAATTTCTTTTGACACTCTTTTATTTCTCTGAGCAAGCAGACTACTCTTTTAGTATAAGATTGCTTTTTAAATGAATTAATCATTGACAAATGCAAAATTTTGTCATTTCTTTTCTGGTTTGAATTTCCAAAAAAGAGAGGAGATGCAATGTATAAATATGCAATTTTAGAGCAATGTCCTAATGGTGGTATAGCAGTTGGTGCTTGTATCAATGGTTTGTGCCCTACTGGTTATGTCTGTATAAACGAGCAGTGCTGCCCTCAGTCAGGCAATTCAACATTTCGCTGCTCGAATTTAAACTATGTTTTGGGTCCTTGCGTGGGTAATCAGTGTCCAGATGATGGTTTCCAATGTGACACTTCGATTAATTCTTGTTGCCCAATCACGGATCCAGTTGGACCTTGCATTGAACCAGGTTTAATTTAATCAACCATGCCAAAACTTATTAGTATTTTTATGAAAGATCAGTTTTCGCTTTCCATTTCCAACTTTATTTTGAGAACTTGTTTGAATAACCAAAAATAATTTCTTTTGCAGCTTATTAAGTTGAAAATTTAATTACGAACTCACTTGTGCATAAGTTAAAAGATATTGAAAATTGTACATCTAAATATCAAAAAAAGTCAAGAGAATAACAATTTTCTTTTCTAGTCAATTCTGATAGTTTTTGGATTCCAAAAGACATGATACTACTAATGATATTTTGAAGTAAGCACTTTAATAACTAAAATTTTAATTTAATTTAGTAGTAATTTTTTTGTATCTGTGCATAATTTTTGTTAAAGTAAACCATATTCAAGGCGACCAGTGTCCAGTAGGACATAGGTGCTTCACTCAAGGTACTACTCCTCTTTGCTATCGTGAATGTGATGGTCGAGGAACTATAACTGGTCCCCATGTTGGTGGAGTGTGTCCAGATGGAACCACATTAATTTTTGGCTTTTGTTGTACTTTAAGGGCTCGTTTTTACAATGCTCCATCGACATCTTTCCTTTCAAGTCGACATCTTGACTTGTCTAGCAGTCGCTCAGCTAGTGAGACTATAAAATTAATTCCAAGACAATTATGAAAATAGAAAACTGTCTATTTTTTCAATCACTTTTTATAATTGTCAAGGGACAAGTATTGAGTGCTAATCTAGCATGATTAATTCTTTCAAGTATTTAGTAATATTTGTACTAATCATTTTCAAATTTACTACCTTTGCATAGGATTGAAAGTCCTATAACGCAGTTTAAGACTCTTTCAAACACGTTTTTAGGTGTGGGTTTGTGCCCTGATGGAAGTGGAGCTGTAAGTGCCTGCATCGATGGCGACTGTGGTTCTGGCTATCAGTGCTACAATAATCTTTGTTGCCATTTGCATTATGCCACTATGATGCTTCCGTTTTCCTCAACGTGTAATATTTTAATTGGTTCAACTATGAATTATTTTGATTTTTTACGATTTTAATAATAATTTAATTTTCTGTGTGGAACAGAAATCAAAAATTTTCTCTTTGAATATTATTTTGTAGGCAACCGTTGCCAACAGTATTGTAAATGGCGTTTAATTTCAGCACTAGAAAGTTCTGAACTTAAGAAAAAATTTCGAGAAATAAATAAACTTTGTTTTCGCTTTTTCATTGCTTCTAAAAATAATTTTAAACATTAAAGTTTTGTACTGAAATAAAAAATTATTTGCAAAATTTTTATTATAACGAATCAATTATAATTTTTAGTGCTTCAATTAAATTTAAGACTAATTTATTGATAAATTTTAATATGCTTTGAAAAACATATTGTATTCAACAGTATATGTTCTCAAAAATTCAAACGAAAGACCACAAATTTTCCAAATGATAAAAAAATTTAATTCAGAGTTTTCAAAAATTTTTTCAAAGTAGTTTGCGGTGTATATTTGTGGTGCTTACATATTTGATGCACACATAAAATATTCGATGTTTTATTCAAGTTGAGTTTTTTTTTTTTTTTTTTT